GTAGGAGCCCATATGGAAGGCTACCAACCAATGTTTCTCTCTTAAATTGACATTTCTGTCTCTCTCTGTACTATCCTCTCACTCTAAAAATAAAACAACAACAACAACACCACACACACACACACACACACACACACACATATCCTTGGATGAGAATTAAAATAAAATTAATAGAAACTACAGAAGATAGTAGGACCATGATGAAAATACTTACTATAAAAAAGGAGGCAATCAGAGTCTGTCTGTTCAATACATTCCTTTACTGGAGAGGGTGTTAAGGAGCAGGTTTCAAAGTGTTTAAAATTCATCATAATTCAAACCTTATTCTCTCTCAGTTGGATTACAATATAAGTGGCATCTAAATGGAGTTCCTCCCCTCGAGTGTCTACCCCAATTTGCTGTGTCCTCAGGCACCACTTTACCTGTCATGAGTTTGATCACTAACCACGGTTCCCATGTTCATCCACTTCATGGCTCCCGTACGCTGTTTACCTGAGCACAAACATCATATCCAGTTTCAAAGTCCTCCACAATATGTCCATCTATAAGTCTCAATATATCCTTACTTTCCCCACAGCCCTGGATCCAGCCAAGCCAAACCTAGAATCCATCACTATTCCCCAAACATACCCACCTACTTTTCTGCCTTTATGTCTTTGCTTGAACTTTTCTTCACTCAGAATTCCTACAGTCCACCTTTTGGACTAAAAACCTTCCTAAACTTAAAGATGTATGTGATACCACATTCTCCAGAATGTCTAACCAAAATATCACATTTAATTTTTGCCTTAAAGAATCCTTAAAATATGTATAGAAATTATATTCTGTGTTGAATTATAGGTATTTGATATTCCTCTTGACCTCCCTACTCAATGGGAAGCTCTCCTCAACTTTCTGTCCCCCTTCAATAGCAAACAGAGATGTACAGCACATCAAAAGTGTTTGCTAAATTCAGTTAGCTCTTCCCATTTATTAAAACTGAAACTCTTTTTTAAAAACATATATTCTTTTAAAAATATATATTCTTATGGATTTCAGAGAAGAAGGGAGAGGGATAGAGAGAAACATCAATGATAAGAGAGAATCATTGATCACCTGCCTCCTGCATCAAGCCCACAATCTAGGTATGTGCCCTGACTAGAAATTGAATCATTACCTTATGGTTCATAGGTTGATGCTCAACCACTGAGCCACACAAGCTGTGCAAAACTGAAACTCTTTTAAGTGACACACACACACACACACCCACACACACACACACACACACACACGGTATGGCAAAAGTAGGTTTACATTTGTTGGTATGGAAAATAATACAATAATCCTATATAATAAAGATAATTTGCAAATTGACCCTCACACCCTCACAAATGGCTGCACCCATGTCATCACAAGATGGTCTTCACAAGATGGCTGCCCCATGTCATCACAAGATGGTCTCCCTCACATTGTCACAAGATGGCCAGCAGGGGAAGGCAGGTGGGGGGGACCAGACCAGCAGGGGAGGGTAGCTGGAGGCAATTGGGCTGGCAGGGGAGGGCAGTTGGGGGCAATCAGGCTGGCAGGGGAACAGTTAGGTGTTAATCAGGCTGGCAGGGGAGGGATCAGGCTGGCAGGGGAGGGATCAGGCTGGCAGGCAGAAGTGGTTAGGGGCAATCAGGCAGGCAGGCAGGCAGATGAGTGGTTAAGAGCCAGCAGTCCCAGATTGTGAGAGGGATGTCAGACTGCCAGTTTAGACCCAATCCCACTGGGGTCTCAGATTGGAGAGGGTACAGGACATTCCCGAGGGGTCCCAGATCGGGACACACACACAGCAGTGCATGAATTCCATGCACTAGGCCTCTAGTTAAAAAAAATAATATAAGAATAAATTGTTTAACATACAACTGTAGATCTACTTATATTAAAAGTGATTAGAAAATATTTTTTAAGAAACCAATTATTTTATTTAAGTATAATCATAGCTATTGGGGGTTTCCAGGGATATTTTGAAATATTAACTAAAAGGTGTTTTGTTTTGTTTTAATGTAACCAAACATTTTACTATTCTTCAATACATACTTCACCAAAATTAGGTTACTCCTTATTAGAATATAATACCCACATGACCAATCATTGGGCCAGGCTACATACTATTAAAGTCTAAGGAAGATGCACGGCCAGGAACAAGTAGATACTGGAAGAAATAGACCATTTGTGATCTTGTAAATGCAATGACTTTCAACCAGTTCAAACTAAAATAACTATGTTTCTTGTGATTCGCAGTATTACAATCCCAATGGACCTAACTTTAAAAGGGCATGGTGTATCTCACACAGCTGCTGTGAGACTGGGCCAAAATAACTATCCTTGCTCGACCTTTTGAGTTTTGGATCAATAACAACAGGACCAGACTACACTAAGAAAACTAAATTGCTTCACTGAGTCAAATGCCCAACATATACAAAGCCAACCCATTCATCCATCCATCCATCCATCCATCCATCCATCCATCCATCTATCTATCATCCATCTATCTATCCACTGAGCCAAACCAGCTAGGGCAGCAGGTTGTCTTTTACGTTTTACTAGAGGTCCCTCAGCCTGGCCTGTATAAAACATAATATTATTACAGCAATGCATATTATATATATATTTTAAAAAGACAACCTGTTGTGTTTCAATGTTATTAGCTATAGTATTGGAACTACTTCTTTTTCTTTTTAATATATTTTTATTGATTTCAGAGAGGAAGGGAGAGGGAGAGAGAGATAGAGATAGAAACATTAATAATGAGAGAGATTATTGATTGGCTGCCTCCCATATGCCCCCTACTGGGGATTGAGCCCACAACCCAAGCATGTGCCCTTGACTGTAATCAAACTTGGGACCCTTCAGTCCACGGGCCGACTCTCTATCCACTGAGCAAACTGGCTAGGGGAGAACAATCAAAGATGAAATTGAGAAGCTAAATTTAAAGCAAAGAACAAGTGGGCAAGCTGGCAAGGCAGTCCTATGGTCTGTATGTAAGGATTTCCTCCTTGGACCGGGCAAGGATAGTCAGAGCATTTGCAGGGGCAGATTCTGCACCAGGTCCTGTAGCACAGGCCTCAGAGGGCGTCAGAGTGATGGGAATGGAAAATGAGCAGTTATTTCATTTGACCTTGAAATGAAGAGACACAGACTGCCTTCTGCAGAAATGAACATACAAGCAAAGCCATGGATGACTCAATTACTGCATTTTATACCAGAGAGGAAGGAATGCAGTGACTAAGATGTTATGGTTAAACAACAAATCACTTTCCATGGGATATAAAAAAGAACACAGTATACCACAGCATTCCGTCTGCATAATTTTAAAGATAGGAACCAGAGAAACTTCTGGTTTTAGCTGATGATCTGATGACTAGTTCACTAGTTGAAGACTGCATCTTACCTCTTCTTTTCCAATGAAAGAGCAATAGAAAATGTCCTTTAAAAAAATGTATTCAGAGCTCATGATATTGAAGAGGCCTTGCCAGAGGCAGTAAAATCCAGAAAAGCAGGGTAGAAGTTGAATTTGTAATGAAATATTAGACAATACTTAGCTTTCATTCCAAAGCTAAGTATTGAAACTTATGGGAGTGATGAAGTTAAAATAACAAGCTGTGGCATTCACTATTTTTAAAGGGTTGAGCTGCAGTCTTCTTAGCGTAAACAAATCACATAGAAGCACCTGTGCCCATCTGAATTACTTCTATGACTATTTTTTCCACTGCCAAGCAGCCTGCATATTAAGTATTCCCTCTATGCTCTCCGGGGCCCAGGTGCCAAGAAAAAAAGCATTTTGCTATAAACATATTCTTGATCTCTGTATGTTAGCATTGGACTCTATTCTTAGACATATTGTGGGTAAATAAGTTGTGATTTTTTTCCCCCTACAAATATGCCAATCCCTGGTTGGAATGCATTGTGTTGTCCTTATACTAATGGAGTGCCTATATCATTCACAATGACCTAATTGAGGTTCTTGGCCTTAAGTAAATGGCATATTTAGGTGAAACTGGTAGAGGGTGAGGTGTTCTCTATAAATACCTTGACCCTTTCTGAAATCAGGGCCCAAATCACTTAAGAATGTACAAGGTGCCCAGCCGGTATGGCTCAGTAGTTGAGCATGGACCTATGAACTAGGAAGTCACAATTCAATTCCTGGTCCGGGCGCATGCCAGGGTTGCAGGCTCGATTCCTAGTATAGAGCTTGCAGGAGACACTGATCAATGACTCACTCTCATCATTGATGCTCCTCTCTCTCCCTAGCTCTTCCTCTCTGAATCAATAAAAAAAATATATTTTTTTAAATGTGCAAGGTAATGAATTTATTTTCACTCCACCCTTACAAAATAACAAGTTTCATTGCAGCTAAAAATTTCAAGCAGCTAAAACAGTACAAAAGCAGTGGCTTCTAAGTAAATATGGACGACTTGTGTTTTCCTTGTCAAAGTTCCTGATATGCACTTATATCTGTGAATGATATCCTAAGTTTGAGAGGGCAAATCAGAGTTCAAAGACACCACCTGCCCCACCTTGGAATTTAGGAAAAATATTATTTCTCTGTATTGCCCTAGTAAAAATAAAACTCAGGCTTATGTTCTGCAAATATTATGATTAACGTTAGTGGGGGACCCAGCCAAAGAACTCCTTTTGTGAGGAAGTTGGGAGGAGTAGTCTGTAATAAACTAAAAATAGAGACAAGTGAGATAAGTCAAGTGGATGAGTTTTGCAAATACTATTCCCACTTGACTTGGATCTCTAGGGTGGAGGAGAGTATTATCATGCATAATTCCGGAATTGCCTAACCAAAGGATCCATTTGGGATGGCAGTGACTTCCAGGAGGGCTGTGAATAGAGGTCTTTCCCTACATTTCTCTGCCCCCTTCCCCTCTTGGGCAGCAGCCCCAGAAGGAAGTGTGTCCTGGCTCCCGCGGGTGCTGGGGAGTCAGAGAGAGGAGACAGCCCCCCCCCCCCCCCCCCCCCGCCCTTACCTGCGCAGGTCTTCCCATCGTAGGTCTCGCACACCCATTCGTGGCATTCACACAGGGGCCCGAAGTACACGCCCGGCTCGCTCACGTGGCAGATGCAGACCCCGCAGTCGCACCGGCCCCGGCCGTGGCACACAGCGCCCCCTGGGGGCTTCCCGGGCGCCCTGCACCGGCGCTCGGACTCAGCCCGGGACAGCCTGCACGTGGCACCTGGCCCGCTCCTGCATGGGCGACAAACCACAGCAGGGCCTTGGTCAAGCACAGACGCTGCTCCTGCTGCTCCCGGCCCACGTTTCCTCCCAGTGCCCACCCAGATGCAGGCAGAACCCCAGGAGGCCCCACATTGCTCTGGGGGCCAGGCTTCCTCTAAAGATATCCCAGGCAAAGGGCACCCCCCAGAAGCTATCACCTGAGAAATGACCATGACCCAAAATGTCTAAGCGATGACCGGCCCAACTTGGGAATAGGACCATCTTCTGGTTGATTAGAGGTGACCCAGCCTGCCCCTTGGAAGTTTGTACCCGAATCTTACATGCACATTAAGATTAAACGCAAACTAATCCAAAGTCTGACACTTAGCTGACTTTTCAGTTACTTTTGAAAAGTCCCATTACTCCCTGGTGGCCAGGGGCAGTTATTTTATGAAAAGGAAGAAATGAATATATAGAGAGAGAGCTGTACACGTTATGATGGCACAAGACAAACAACTTTTTAAAAAGTTGCATGAAGCAATGCTTATACACTAATCCCTTTTTAAAAGCTTAGCTTTGCAATGTGCCTCACAGTCTTTTACAAATACAAATAAATGTAATACAAAATGCAACACCTTTAACTCATGGCAGAAATTCCTCCAGATATGTATTGACGCAGAAGGAACTTATTTATGTATTCAGTGATTCTTTTTTTCTTTTTTCTCTTTTTTTCTTTCCCCAAAGTACAAGCAAAAAACAGAAGAGCAGCCAGGCGCGGCATAGATAGGAAGAAAAGAACGGGAGCAGGTTGAAATCCTTCATCCCGTGCCCAAACTTCCGCGGGGCAGCCACACAAAGCAGGGCAAGCCCGTCTTGAATAACAAACCAAACTCACCTCAGAGATGGCGAGAAGTTTTGAGGAACAGCTGACAGCACCGCGAGAAAGAGGGAGCACGCCAGCAGCAAGAAGTGCAAGAAGTTCCCGGTGCCTGCGGGACGCATGCTGAGCTCCGGGTGTGGAGGCGAGCTGTGCTTCTGCAAGGAGGAGCTCACCGCGGGGGGTGGGGGGAGAGGAGGGGGTGCTGCAGGAGCGCGAGGTGCCACCAGCAGAAGGCAGGGCAGACGGACACACGGACACTCAGGCGCGCAGGTCCCGGGCTCTGCCGGGAGCTGCAAGTACAGTTGATGAGCCGCCTGCGAAGATTTGGGCAGCAGCACCGCTCTGGGCGGGGTGCTGGTGCCAAACCCCTCAAGTGGAGAGTTTAGGCAGGAAAGTAATTAGAAACAGTTGTACAAGCAGATGGTTTATTTTGACATCAAAAAGAAAAAAGAAATGTCTCTTCAAGTAGAGGCCCCAGATATATTTGACAGGATAATATTTGGGCTGGCTGATACGGAGGGACAGATAAAATAATCCCTAAGAAGTGAGGGGAGTGGGGGTGGAGGAGGCAGAGGATGTCAGCGTGAGGACTTGGGCAAAGGAGTTATACACCGCATGTCTTTTAAGAAGATGCACTACTGGGGGCATGAGCTCTGAGGAACTAGCAAAATTGACAAGCAAAACTTTTACTAGCAAAATTGACAAGCAAAACTTTTACTTGTACTTTTTTCCCTTTGTTTTGAGTTGTGGGTTTTTCATTTCTTGAGCCTTTGAAAAGTGTATCCTGATTCTAGTTGTTCAAGCCAGTAGTTTATCACACCACATTTTTTCCTTGACTTGGACAGTTCAAATCGTGGTTGTCCCAGATTCACCCCAGTTTCCTCCATGAGTCAAGAAGAAGGAAACAAGATAAAATGTCTAATTATAATATCAATTGCACTGAAGCTCATCTATGTCATTTATGAAGCACCTACTATGTGCCAGTCACTTAGTATATTTTATCTCTAGTTGTGACAATAACCAAACACTTATTTGCTCATTTAGCAAGCATGGATTTAGCATCTATTAGGTTCTGGCCTCCCTCCGTGCCAGATAGAGAAGACACAATTAAGGAAATGAAGGAGACACGGCCCCTGCTCTCAATATCCAGTGGGTCAATAAACAATAAACAAGACAAAAAGACAAATATTAAAGGACAAAGGTTTGCAAATGCAATGAAAAAGTGCAGTGACTTCCAGATTATCTAGAGGCACCTGATCTAATCAATATGGTGGCATTTGAGCTAATGGATGAAGGATAAGTAGTTCCAAAGAGTAGGAAAGCATTTGTATTCTCATTTTAAAGATTAAGAAACGGAGGACAAAGAATGGCCTCTTGTGCAAAAGTAACTGACATTCTCAAAATCACTCAAGAAGTTAAAGCGAGATTTCAGCTACAATCTGTGGAATCTCAAACCCCACACACTACACACTGTCCCCTAAATTGTGTGGTCATTGGGGAAAATTGCTGTGGAGGGTTATATGCAAAGGAAGATTGTTCCCATCTTCTCAGAAGAGCGCTTTGGATGCAAGGATCCTCATGAACAGAACTATCCAAGTTGTGATTCTATGACCTTAAAATTGGACTAAGCTATAACACGATGGAATTTCTCCTTGTCGGTTATATAAACAGACATAAGACCATCCCAGCATTTGCCTGCTGGAGCCCATCCCTCCCCTCTTTTCCTCAGCCTCAGTCTGTACCAGGAAGAGCTCTCTCTGGGGCACATCCCAGCGCACACAGCTAAGCCTCCTCCAAATAACTCTCCCTTCATCAGCCCTCAGACCCTGATATGTACAGGCTGGTGGCTGGATCTATCATAGAGTATATAGACTGAGGAAAAGTGTGCATAGGCCAGAGAGTGATCTGGGAAGGGAATTCTTAGAGTCCTGCTTCAGAAGGAATGACATAGGCTTTGTTTTGGCAGGTTTTCTGCATTGCATGAAAGACTCACCTTATAGGGAGGAGGTGTGTCTGGAGGAAAGACAGAGGGACTCATTAAACCAATAATTCTCAAAGTGGATTTGTGAACCTAAAGTAAGCAGCAGTAGCAGCAGCAGCACTTGGGAACTTGTTAGAAATGCAAGTTCACAGGTCGCAACCCCAGACCTCCTGAATCACAAGGTGTATTTTAACAAGATCCTGAGAAATCTATTTGCACATCACCATTGGAGGAGCCTTGCAAAGCCCAGGGCTGAGGGCTGGGGCCACAGATGCTTGGATCTATGCATGGTATTTATAATCACAGTTCAAATTCTGACATGATATTCCTTCCTAGCCACGTGTAACACTACAAAGATGTAGGAACAGGCTCTCCTGCCAATGTCTAAAAACCTTGGTGACTCAGAGAATATGGGAATAGTAGAAAGGAAGCCTCAATTCCAAAGCCTCACTAGGAATTTACACTGAAATCATGGGACTTTTAATAAATGAGTCATGAATTACTTACTGTTTGCATATTTTCTAAGGGGAAAAAAAGAATCATTGTGAAATTGAGACCTGATGTTGGAACGTTTCTTTCATGAATTAAAAGAAATTAACTTGTGGCATTTTCATAGAGTGGTGTGCAATAAAAAATATTATCATTAAGAGTATGCTGCTGTGATATAAAGATAGTATGTACTAGTGACTGAAAACATTTAAATGTCCTGATCATTATGTTACTGTGACTCAGAAATAATATTCCCAGTAAGTTGAAATAGTTTTATTGTGGCTGACTCAGTAGAAAGTATTGGATCCATGAAAACTCTCTCAAAATAAAAAGACCAACTTAAAATCCTCTCCTTTTAGCAAATTTTTTGTTGGTGTTTTTGTTCTTCTGCCTAAGTCTTAGATACCTACTATCTTCCATCTCCCTGTTTGCAGAAATTTCAAGAACACACATTCTAGTGAAAGCAGATGTTGAGCTCCATTGCTGAATGGAAGGCCCCACGTCTCTCATTGACTCTGAAGACACTGTGAGAGCTCTGAAGAGAAGCCAGGTTAGTAGACGCCCAGCCTCTGGAACCAAACTCAAAGGAATTGGAAACATCTTAGTGCTTGGTTGTATTCTTTGACTCCACAGGTCACAAAATCACAGAATCTAAGGATGATTCAAGGAATTTTTTTTTTTAAGATAAAAGGTAATCTAATCTTCCCTGGGCAGTTAGCTCAGTTGGTGAGAGTGTCATCTTGATATGCCAAAGTTTTGATTTCGAACTCCATCTGGGCACATACACGAATCAACCAATGAATGCATAAATAAGTGCAACAAATTGAATATTCTTTCTCTCTCCCTTCCTCTCTCTTTTGAAAAAAAAAATCAATAAATTGAAAATTAAAATAAAACAAAAGGTTATCTAATTCAAAACTATATTTGTTGACAATATCCAATACAACCACCAAATGATTAGGTAGACTTATTAAGAAAACAAACAATCAGAAGAACACAACTCTACCTAAAACCAACGTTTTTACCCCTTGGTTTTAGATCTATTCCAGGAGGTTATGTACCCTGGCCATAGCCTTGCTGAAAATATTTAAAGCTATAACATGTATGTACCCCAATCCCATCATACTTTCCAAATAATTCTACCATTCTCAATATACATATTTTCATTTTGATCACCACTTCCTCATCTATTACAACTTCAAGCTTTCAATACTCTGATTTTCTGAGTATTTTTTTGCTTTGGCTGGTATGGATACTTCTGTAAATGTAATATGCACAACTGAAACCATAAAGTCGGGGTTGTCTAATGTGTGTGGAATTGTTTTTCTATAAACTGGCTGCTATATACAGAGGGCAACAAGAGACCAAAGACAAAGTCAGACCACTCCAAATGTATAGGTCATCCTATCTAATTAAAGAGAAACATGCAAATTGACCATACCTCCTCTACACCCATAAGCCATGCTCACCAGTCAATCAGGAGTGAGTATGCAAATTAATCCAAGCAAGATGGCGGTTAATTTGCATATATAGGCACAGAGCAAGACTGAAGACAGCATAGAAGGAAGCCAAGTGGTGCAGAAGGGAGCTTAGCTGCAGAGAAGCAAGCAGGAATAGGCCCAAGGAAGCCCTATTCTTGCAGAAATCTTCCAGCAATGGGCCTCTAGTAGTTTAATAAGAGAATTGAGACATTTCTTGAGTAATCACCACAAGACAAATAGATGTCCACACCCTCCCATCAGAATCTTACAAGTTTATATAGAGGTCTTAATTGGGTTCAGTCACATGTAACCATCCAGATATTCTCCATAGCCCATTGCTCTCTTAAAGCTGTATCCTTGAAAAGTGTTCCCTTTGTTGGAACAGTGGGCAGAATGTATATTGCAAAGACAAGGGAAGGGGGGAGGAGCATTGTATTGCCTGGGTCTAACTCATAGATTGGTACGTTTAGCACTCAGTTCATATACTATATTTCTACTAATAAATGATAATCAAATTAATTTTTTGACTGTGTCATTACTTCATTAGTGGACTTTCACAAGTATATTTACCCAAAATACAAATTGTTATTTATCTTTATTCAATTGTATCTAATTTCAGCTCATTTATCCTGACAGTCAAAATTATTATGGATACTGTTTCATATTTCTCACATCCTTCAAAAGTAATTATGATGAATATATTTTCTCCTTCTTCATCCAAATTATTGATAACATAGTTGAAACAAATAACAGGCTGAGGCCCAAACTTAGGTGAGAATTTTATTAAGCTCATAGCAATCCTTTAAATCAGCACACACTGAGTAGGCAATCCAACCACTTACCAGTGTCCTGCATTGTCTGCAATCAACCTATGGTTCACAAGATTTCTATGAAAAGTCCCAATAGTGGCCTCGGTACTTTTTGTTTACCAGGTAAAACTTGGGCTTTCACACCTTTTCTACCAACACCTACAATAGTGCCTCATTCATATTACATATCAACTAGAGGCCCAATGCACAAAGATTCATGCAAGAATGGGCCTCCCTTCCCCTGGCTGTTGGCACCACCTTCACCCCTGCCAAAGCCACCTTTCCACCTTCCCACGCTGCTCACAGACCTGGAGCAGCTGGGGCAGTGCCTAATGGCTGCATCATCACCATTATGATGATGC